GAGAGAGAGAGAGAGAGAGAGAGAGAGAGAGAGAGAGAGAGAGAGAGAGACAGACAGACAGACGGACGTGGGCAGGTTGGGGGGGTTCTTTACATGTGTTTCATTTAAAGGCAATGTCCATTCTGTACTTTAGGCATTTTGGCACGCACTGTACCTGTCACAGGATTGACACTCAGTTTTCACTTTAATACTTTTCATGACCTTCGATGATGATTAAGTCTAAAAATAGGCAGTGCTAATACTTTCACATTGCTAAGTATAGTATTTCCCTGTAGTTATTAGTTAGATGGCCCTTGGGAAGTTGCTTTATTTCAAGTGGTACTGCCAGTTCCATGTGCCACACTAATTCACTCTATGCTTTACATTTAACCTCTTTAGAGGGTCTAGCTCTGATTTTTTTTTAATGCTCTTTGATGGAGAGCCTAGCCTTGCTGTCACTTTGATTTTAGCCCAGTGGCACTAATTTTGAATGTCCCAAGTGAGAGACTAGACCTCTGCTTTGTGAGCCACTAAGTGTGTGTTAGTGACTACAGCCACTGCAGCAGACGTGTGTGATAACCTGTTTGATTTGCACCTCAAATGGCTTTGCCTCCCTCGGGCTCAGAATTTGTGGTATTTTACTGATAGTGAAGTTTATTAGTAGTAATAGTATTGTTGTTACATAATTCACGTCAGTAAGGGTTTATTTGAATTATGTTGTCCGTTTTTTTTATGTTTCTCTAGGCTGCCAAACTTTTTGATGAAGAAGGAAGAAAAAAATTCTTCACACAAGATATGAATAATATTCTTCTGGAGTAAGTGATTTTTATCTTTTCCTTTTTAAACTTGCACTGGGAATAATCTCAGTGATATACTTGCCAAGCATTTGTGAGGCCTTAAGTTCAATTCCTAACTCAAATAAAAAGAAACAAGTCAAAAACCTTGCAGGCTGCTGAGGCAGTAGATAGTTGGTAGAGTGCTTGTGTAGCATGCTGGAAGCCCTGGATTTGCATAAACTGAGCGTGGTGTGGTACACCTCTGTAATCCCAGCATTTTGGAGGTGAAGAATGAACAGTTGAAGGTCATCCTCAGCTACATTGTGAGTTCAAGGCCAGCCTAGGCTACTTGACACTCTATCTCAAATAAATTAATAAACTAATTAATTAATAAAAACTTTGCAGAGTGGTGGTCCATGCCTCTAATGCCAGCACCAAGAGGCTGAGGCAAGAGAACTACAAGTTTAAGTAGTTGAGGGGCTGAGTATATGTAGTTCAACTGTACAGTTCTTACCTTTAATTTACAGAGGTCTGGATCAGATTCTCCAGTACTGCATAAAACTGGTGTGGTACTTTATACCTATTTTCTCAGCACTTGTAGAGGTGGATACAGGAAGACTAGGAAATTCAAGATTATCCTCAGGAATAATATTGAGTTATACAGTTTATCATCGGCCAGCCTGGGTTATCTGAGACTTTTTCTACCTACATATACACGGTTGACCTTTGAAAACCAATGAGATGGCTCAGTGGATAAAGTGCTTACCACCAAATCCGATGACCTGAGTTTATCCCTGGGACCCATATGGTTGAAGGAGAGAATCAAGTCTACAGTTTGTCCTCTGACTTCCTCAGTTACTCCATGGTACCTAATAAGTGTACGTGTATACACACACACACACACACACACACACACACACACACACGCATACACACATATTTAAATATTACTTTTAAATATTTTTTAATCGACTTATGAATTAGAGGTTTTGGTCTCAGTCATCCATTCTTCCTGTTCTGCTTTGCAGCATGTTTTTTATAATATTTGTTCCTGGGCAAAACTGTATTTGTTCTCCATACTACTAACAATAGGTATAGCCTTTGATATTTCTAGCTTTTAGAGCAGGTGACCACTATGCAGGTTGACCATTCAGCTGGTCTTAGGTGTATTTTGTGCCACCTATATGAAAAATGTCTGTGAAAGGTCAGAGTATTTATTCAGATTGGCCACCTATTTCTACTACTCAGAATTGAGACATATGATTTCATGATTATTTAGTGAGGTTAATTATAATTTTTGCAAAATTTATAACCAAATGAAAACTATGGTTCAAGGTAGAAAACTTGGACCCAGGCATGGTGGTGGTACACACCTTTAATTCCAGTACTTGGGAGGCAAAGGCAGGTGGATCTCTGGGTTTGAGGCCAGCCTGGTGTACAGAGTGAGTTCCAGGACAGCCAGGGTTACACAGAGAAACCCTGTCTTGAAAAACCAAAGAATTCTTGGCTGTAAGTTTATATGAAAACTACAGACATCAGATTGGGAGAAAAAGGTGAGGGCTCATATATGACATGGATTATATTAAAATGAGCAGATTTTTAGATTTAGTATCAGTTTTACCCTCAGTGTTTGATACTAACGAAGCTGCATTTTTGAAGGTTGTAGCCAAATAAGCTGTACTTGTACATGGTTTTAACTGTTGGTTATAGCATATAAGAATACAGTTGACTGCAGGCAGAACTAGGCAAAAGTGTGATCATGAGGAAAGAAGCAGATCTTACTTGTATGATGAAAATAATTGGTCTGCTCTGGCATTTAATACCACCAGGTAGGAAGATACAAGCAAATAATATTTCTGTGATTCCTTTCTTCTAAATACACAATAGAGATATTCAATAGAAAAGGGTTTTTTTTCATTACTTATAGTTAGTTACTATCTCTGTGATCCTTTAAGACTTAAAAAAAAAAATAGACTCCTCAAACGTAACTGTGTTTCCAGTGGAGTGGCTGAAGAGTTCTTTGTTTTAGCCTGGATTTTCAGGTTGAATGCATGTGATGGAAGAGGTACATGATTCTTCACATTCCTGCTGCCACCTTTACTGGTGGCTTTTGAGCTCCAGAGTCACACTAGACAGTGCAGCAGCTGTCACTCATCTCAGAGTTGTCCCAGATTCCATCATCCCATCTCACTAGCCATTTTTTTCTCTCCCCTGGTACTAGAGCAATTCTTTCCTCGTGCCTAAGACTGGTCTTTCATTCTCTTCCCCCTTCCCCTCCCTCCCTTCTTTCCTTTCCATTTCACTCTTCTATAAGAGGGGTGTCTGTTTTTCCCCTGGGAGAATCAAGAGCCCATCTTTGTGTTCTGGCAACGCAGGTAAATTAGAGAGTTCCGTTGATAGGCTTCCCTCCATTCCTTCCCTGTCTGTCACAAACAAATCTCTAAATTGGGGAGCCCATCTACTTTGGTTTCTTTTTTTTAAAGATGTATTTATTTTTATTTTATGTATATGGGTGTTTTGCCTGCATATATTTAACTGCAGCATGCATAAGTCAGAAGAGGGTATCAGATCCCTTGGAATTAAAATTACAAACAATTGTTAGACACCATATAGGTACTGGGAATCAAACCTGGTCTTCTGGAAGAGGGTCAGTGCCCTTAACTGCTGAACCATCTCTCCACCTACACACACACAAACAGACACACATCTGCTCTTCATTTCACAAAAGGTGAGCTTTCAGTTCTTTAAGGCCTTAGGCTCACAGTTGATGGTTTCCTTTAAAGTCACTTTTTATTGTTCTCTGTCCTAAACTCACATGCCTTACTCTTCTGGACAGAGTGCTGTTGTAATAGCATGTATAATCCATGCCTAACATTACTCAGGTGTATTGGCCTCACCATTTCTTCCTTTTGTTGAGGAGAAAAAGATGAATTTCTGGTTCACCTTTTTTTTCCATAGTTGAATTGGACCTGAATGAACAAGTATACAATATACTTACTTTTCTTCCCTGTTCCCTGAAGCAGGCATTCTGAATTCTACTCATATTACACTAGGCATGACTGTTTGCTGGACACTCCCTATGAGACCTTCATGCCATCTCCTTGGTACTCCTTGAATGAGTAGTGACTTGAATGGCGGTATACAGAGGACTTAGCAGTTAAGTTTCTGCTCAGGGAGTCAGCTTTCCCCTGTCTGAGTTAACCTTTGGAAGCCAGTGACTTTAAACTATTTCCTTGAGTCTGTTACATCTCTTAGTACTTGGAGAGTATTTTATTTTCAGTTTCAACTAGCTTTTTAACGATAAGACAAGTCCAGAAGTCCTACTCAGAGCCTAGGCCCTTAGTAAAGGTCTAGCCAAATGCTACCAGCCAAGCATTTCTGCATAGTACTCATGACCATGACGTTATTTCGCTGAAGGCTCTTGCATTTAACTGTCTATTCACTATTTAGTTTTTCTAATACTAGGGATTTTCTTTTACGAGTTCTAAAAAGCATGATTTTGTCTATTTTATTTTTTTCTGAAATTACAATATATCTTTTTTGTTGTTCTTGTTTTGTTTGTTTTTCAAGACAGGGTTTCTCTGTGTAGCCTTGGCTGTCCTGGAAATCCCTCTGTAGACCTCAGGCTGCCCTCAAACTCCAGAGATCCACCTGCCTCTGCCTCCTGGGTGCTAGGATTAAAGGCATGCCCCGCCACTGTCCAGCTGAAATTACAATGTATCTTAGAGGTGATAAATTAATTTAATATGGGAGGTTTCCTAAGTGTCCCTGTACACTTTCCTATAATTATCTGTCGTGACTTGGGCATAATTTGTTGCCAAGAACCCCAATTTGTTTTACTTTTTGTTTTTTGTTTTGATACAAAGTTTCACAATGTATCCTTGGCTGGCCTAGGGTGCCTACATAGGTCAGGCTAACCTGGGATTGTAAGCATTCCTTGCCTCTTGTTTCTGAATAGGATTAAAAATGCACACCATCAAGCCTGTCTAAGAGCACCAATTTGATAACGACCTTCAAACTCATGTCTATTGTTACTTTTCTTCTGTAGCAGCTGCCAAATACAGTCTTTTCCATTTTTTTTTTAAAGATTTATTTATTTATTATGTATACAATATTCTGCCTGCATGTATCCCTGCAGGCCAGAAGAGGGCGCCAGATCTCATTACAGATGGTTGTGAGCCACCATGTGGTTGCTGGGAATTGAACTCAGGACCTTTGGAAGAGTAAGCAGTGCTCTTAACCTCTGAGCCATCTCCCCAGCCCCAGTCTTTTCCATTTTGAGAGACACTTTGTTAATAGTTTCTCTCTGCTAAAATATGGCAATTATTGCAAATTTTACTGCATTACTTTTAAAAGAGAAGTAGAGAAGAGAAAATATTAATCCCACTGAACAAGAATAAAGACCAATGAACCAAACTTTTTGGTCAAATTAAGCAAGCTTTATTTCCTGTCAAACAGGGCTGTCTCCCTAAAGCCTGGTTTCAGAAAATAGCATTGAGCATAGGAGAAAGTGAGCTTATATAGCAAAAAAAAAAAAAAAAAAAAAAACACCTCCAATGCTAGGGAATTTCCAAGGGTTTTTGGTTATGTGAGAACTTGGTAGAACATCTCAGAATTATTTGGCAGAACATCTTATCAGGATGGAGGTCAGGTTATAGGGTGTGGAACATGTTGAATTCCAGAAAATGAGTAAAGACATGCTAAAATTTAAGTTTCACAGAAAACAGGGAGGAACTTATTTCTACCTTATAACAAGATTCCTTCTAAACTTAAGATGGAGTCAGGCTAGTTCATCAAAAGGAAATAGCTACTAGGCAAAATAAAGACTTAACAATTAATTTTCTGTCCCAAAAAGGGAAGTGAGAACTAATCACTTACAGTAAATTGAGTAAACTATTAAATACACAGCTGTGTCACAGGCATGGTAAGGAAAACAAAGATGAGGAAATAGCATGTGCACATAGCTGGATGTGAAGAAGGGCTTTGCTTTTCAGATACCTTAAGAGGGGTGCTAAAAGGGCCGGGGAACATCTGCTTTTGCTTGCTTCCTTCCTTCCTTCCTTCGTTTGTTTGTTTGTTTTTTGAGACAAGGTTTCTCTATGTAGTCCTGGCTGTCCTGGAACTCGCTTTGTAGACTAGACTGGCCTCGAACTAAAGGTCTGCCTGCCTCTGCCTCCCACGTGCTAGGATTGAAAGTGTGTACCACCAGCACCTGGCTATTTTCTGATTTATATGGTGCTATGTAAAAAGGATTGGATGTTGTTTACTGTTGTGTGGTTTTGTTTTTGTCTTTGGTCAGCATCGAGTTACAGCTACAAGAACTCGGCCCTGTCATTCGTAGTGGTGTCTACTCCCATCTTGAAGCATTTGTGCCATGCAATAAGGAAACACTGGTAAAACGTCTAAAGAAGTTACACCTTAACGTCCAGGTAAGTGGAAGAATGGTGTCTATATCTTAGGTTTTGTAACCAGTAAACAAGATATTTACTCAGAGTCTTTCCACATTCGTCACTTTACAGTTCTGTTACGTATGTTTAATAACCACAGGATGTCACTAAAGTTGATTAGGATCCTTCAGGGCTGGCAAGATGGCTCAGCAGGTAAAGGCACTTGTTGAGCAAGCCTGGCAAAATTGTCCTCTGAATTCCACAAATATACCACGGCATGAGCAACTGCACACAGCCACACACACACAATTTAAAAACTATTTGCTTCAACAGTTGATAGGCCTAGATGAAAAGTACTGATTCCTAAGGCATGGATTCTTGCTCTAGAAAGGCAGTGTAGTAGGTACCACGAACAGAATTCTTTATTAAGACACCAATATCTATTAACAAAGGCTTCTTTTGAGTTGAAAAAATTATAATTCTTTCTTGATTCAAAGCAGGTTAATGAACAAAAAAATTGTGTTCCCAACTCATATTTTATCTTTTTGTTGGCAACTTCAGACATCGGCAATTGGAGCCAAAATTCAAATGGCAAAAATGGGTAACTGATAAAATAGAACTAGAAGCTGGGCCTGGTGGTACACGCCTTTAATACCACCAGAGCTTGGGAGGCAAAGGCAGGCGGACCTCTGAGTTCAAGGCCAGCCTGGTCTACAGGGAGAGTTCCAGGACAGCCAGGGTTACAAAGAGAAATCCTGTCTCGAAATTTAGGGAGGGAAAAAAATCTAAAAAATAGAACTAGAAGTAGAAATAGTTTTTAGTTGTTTTTTGCTTGTGTTTTTTTTTGTTTTTGTTTTTTGTGTGTTTGTTTGTTTGTTTGTTTGTTTGTTTGTTTTTTGAGACAAGGTCTCACTATGTGGCCTAGAGCTCACTATGTACAGCAGGTTGATGTTAAAACTCAAAGAGATCCACCAGCAATGCAAAGGTAAGCACCACCATACCTAGCCCAGAAAAACACCATTTTGTGTAGTATAAAACACCTTTTCTTCCTTTTTGAGAAGGTATTCTGTCCTAGACTAGCCCAGATACAGCAGGGTTTATGTGTGCTGGGATTGTGGGCCTTTACCACCTTGCCTGTTTCTATTTGTGTTTTTAATTTTTATTTTCTGTATGGGTATTCTGCTTGTATGTACATCTGTATACCGTGGATGTCCATGGTACCCACAGAGGCCAGAAGAGGGTGTTGGCTCCCTTGGAACTGAAGTTAAGGGTTATTGTTAACTGCCATGTGGGTTCTGGAAACAGAATCTGGATAGCCCTGACTGACCTGGAACTGGCTATGTAGATCAGACTGGCCTGCCACTGCCTCCTGAATATTGAGATTAAAGGCATGCACACCCATGATTGGCCTCAACTCACCTGGTTTTATGTTTTTCTAGAAATCAAACACGTTTAATGCGTGTTCAGCAAACTTTCAACCAACTGAGCTACATCCGTAGCACCAGATTATAAAATATTTTGGGCCAGCTATAGTAGTGCACACCTTTAATCCCAGCACTCTGAAGGCAGAGTGAAGTGTGATCCTAATTAGTCTTAACAATTAAAAACCCAGAGTCAGCTATTAGGGTGAAAGCTATAAGATCAGAGAATCAGAGCAACCAGCCACCTCTTACCTCTACGAAATCTCAGACCAAATAGGCATCCTGTCTCTATGAATCCTCAAACTGAATGAGATCCTGTTTCCACCTACTTTATATTCCTGTCTCCACCTCCCAATTATGCTTGGATTAAAGGTGTAGCCCAGGGTGGCCTTGAACTCCTGATTTTTCTGCTTCCTCCCTAGTGCTGGGATTTAAGGTATGTGCCACCACTGCCTGGCCTCTGTGGTTAACTAGTGGCTAGCTCTACACTCTGATCTCCAGGCAAGTTTTATTTGTCAGAATAAAATATCATCTGAGGCCAGCCTGGTCTATATAGTGAGCTCTGGATAGCCAGAGCTACATAGTGAGACCCTGCCTTTAAAAAAAAAAAAAAAAGACAACAAAAATTATAACAAAATAAAATATTTTCAGAGAAATGATTGAGTTTGATGTTTGAAGTTATTTTCTATCCCATTGGACATGAGAGAAAGGCATCATCTGTCTTGTCCTTGTTGGTCTTTATATAAGCTTTGTCGCACCATTCATATCCCTAAACATTGTATTGTAAGTTTTACATTGTCTGAGTTTCATAGAAAGAGAAACAAATTGTTTTCTTCTCTAACTAGCTTTCTAGCACTATGTCATGCCTCAGATGTATGTCGACATAGTAGAAATTGATTTCTACTGATATGTATAGCTCTCTATTGTATGAGTATATCTCATTTAACTTCTCAGTTTCACTGTTGATGAATATTTGAAATTTTTCAGGGTTATCTACTTAATTCTTCAAGAAATTTTGATACTAAGTGTTAAGATTTTTATTCTAGATACCATTACATGCTTAGTTTATTAATTGGTATTCATGGACTAGGTTAAAATGCTTTCTAGTCATAATTTTCATGTTCTAAATACAATATCAAAAGTTGTAATGACTTGTTGGGGGACTGGGGTATATCTCAGGTAAAGGCATGCTTAGTAAGCCTGAGTCTCCTGAATTCAATCTACATTATAAAAAACAAGCAAAATCCTTTTGCGTCAGCGAAGAAAGAGTTAAGGTATTTCTGGGCCTATGACGATGATAAAGATTTTAAGCACTTAAGTATATATTATTTGCAAGATGAAAATGGTGTTGGCTGATTTGAGCTGTCAGATATAAAATTCTGACTTTCCTTTCTATGCTGAACCCATATGGAGAAGGGTTTCTCAGTTTCCTCTTTCATTTGGCCTTGAACTTAATTTTTGCTTGCACCATAAATTATAATTGCTAGCAACAACTGGTAGTCACCAAAACAGATTGTGCATTGTAGTATTTCAGAGTAGTGTCCTCTTTGGGTATATCTTTCAACACCAGGAGTTAAACAGTAGTCTGGGCAATGTCTCTCTCATTCTCTGGATTATTTGTATTACAATTCATTCATAAAGCTTATTGGGCAAAACTTGGACTCCTCCTTCAGAATGTGAAGGAACACTGTTACTGTGGCAGCAGGCAAAAACTGGGAGTCTGCTTGGTGTAGCAGGAAACACAGTCATCCTAATTTTTCATCCAGTGTGCCTTTGACAAGTCGGGGCTGTAGAAGACATACCATGTTAGATAACATTCAGGTCTGTAATCAGTATGTGGAATGTAATTTCACCTATTGAAGTTCTGCTTATAGAGTAAGTTTTGTTAGGATATTTGAAGGAAAAAAAAAAAAACTCCAACTGTATTTACCCCTCAGGATGATCGTTTAAGAGAACCTCTGCAGAAATTGAAGCTGGCTGTAAGCAACGTCATGCCTGAACAGCTGTTCAAATACCAGGAAGACTGCCAGGCTCGCAGTCAAGCCAAGTGTGCCAAGTATGTACCTCTGCTGTGGGCTGGCTTTAGAATTTGAGAATGACTTTTAGTTGATGTTCTTTCATTTTATCTTTTGGTTTCTTCGAGATAAGGTTTCTCTGTGTAGCCCTGGCTGTTCTAGAACTCACATTGTAGATCAGGCTGGCCTTGAACTCACAGAGATCTACCTGCCTCTGCCTCTAGAATGCTGGCATTAAAGGTGTGTGCTACCACTCCTCTTCTTTTTTTTTTTTTTTAATATATCACCACACTTTTTCTTTTTTTTTTTTATTAAGATATTCTATTCATTTTACATACCAACCACAGATTCCCCTGTCCTCCCTTTTCCCGCCCACCCCCCAGCCTTACCTCCCAACCCATCCCCCATTTCCACCTCCTCCAAGGCAAGGTCTCCCATGGGGAGTCAGCAGATCCTGCTACATTCAGTTGAGGCAGGTCCAAGCCCCTCTTCCCCCATTCCCCTTCTTAGTTGATGTTCTTAAGCAGTCCTCATCCTCTAGAAACCATGTGTACCATTGAAAGGATGTAATTGAATGTTTTCTAAGTGATGTGTCACTTCCCGCTCAAACTGCTTTGTTGTCAAAAGCAAAAGGCTTTGTCTGGTTAGTATATGGAGGTAAACAAAACAAGGGTCAAGGCAGGCATAATGGGACACGCCTATAATAGCAATTAGGAGGTTTCAGCAGGGTGATCCAGGTTCTAGGCTAGCCCGGGCTTCATATTAAGACTGTCTTTAAAAAAAAAAAAAGGCTAAAAGCTAATGCTAGTTAGGCATTTCACATGTTGACCAGTTTGACTCAGCTGAGGCTGGACACAAAGAGTTTGATCTAAAGGATGATCATTTGTACCTCTATAGTATAGTTCAGAGTCCTTATTTACTCATCCACTTTATACTGGTTCCAAATTCACCATATTATGTGGAAATATGGCCCCCTGTTCTGTTTTGAATAAACATTTGGCTGAGCAACTGAAGTATTTAAGGAATCTAGGGTTGTGAATTCAGGGTTAAAACTTTGCTTCATAAAGTATTACTCATTTTTTTTAGGTTGCAAACAGATGAAGAACGGGAAAAAAATGGATCTGAAGATGATGATGATGAGAAACCAGGGAAACGAGTCATAGGGCCACGAAAGAAATTCCACTGGGATGACACCATTAGGTGAGCTTAGTTCTTCTTCGTTTGTAGGCAAAGAGAAGAGAAGAATCTTCAGGAACCCACTAGACTAGATCAGAAGCAACCAAAGATAAGTGTCTTAAGAAAACATGCTCAGGAATAGTAATCTGGTGTAATCGCCTCAGGGTGCTGGTGCTTTGGGCTTCATATAACACATTTTAACAGCTGTTCTAAGAATGAAGTGAAGTCATTCTGGTTGCATCAGGACCAGCATGTGATATACCTGTGTGAATTGTCTACTTACTGTATCTCAGGAAGACGGCTATCCCATTCAATCTTTGCTCACTTAAAGAAAGGTACCAAAGGCCATTGTTTCATGGTGGGGGTTGATTGTAGTGCATTGAATGATCAGTGTTAGAACTCACTTCTCTTATTGTCTGAATACTTCACTTCACATTCTTTATTGCCACTATATTTACATGCTTCAAAAATACCCATTTCGAATCGTATTTTCCTTAGTTTTACATTTCACATTTCTGTAACAATATATATTTTTAATTTGTTTAGAACTTTGTTATGTAACCTTGTTGAGATCAAATTGGGATGCTATGAATTAGAGCCAAATAAAAGCCAGTCTGCTGAGGATTATCTTAAATCCTTCATGGAGACAGAAGTGAAGCCACTGTGGCCTAAGGGCTGGATGCAGGCAAGGTAAGAAATGTGCCTTCCCAACAACTTTTGTTGTAGTTTCTTATTTTGCTGTTATTAAAGATATATTTGCACACAAACACACATCACATTGATTTTGCTAAGAACTTACATGTTTGGGGAGTGTTGCATGGGAGAAGCTGGAAGGAGGAAAGAGAAAGGGGAAATGATGATCTCAAATTATTTAAAGTGGGAACTGACATGTTCAACATTCTTTTAATACATCAAGAGACCCTATCTCAAAACAAAACAAAAGCCAACTAGTGTGTGTGTGTGTGTGTGCGCGCGCGCGCGTGCGCGCGCACGCAATATTTCAGATCATCAGCACTTAACAAAACATATCTTGTGGATCTAGAAATAAGATAGGTATATTCTTTTGTTTTGTTTTTAATTCAAACCATTTTTCCTTATTTTGCTTCTGAGTTTAGTAATAAAGAAAAAGGATAGGAGATGATGGTTGTAAACTTGAGGGTTTTTTAACAGATAGAAAGGAACCACATGCTGGATTTAGAGCAGAGATAGATGTGGTAGCACACATTTGTACCCTAGCGCTGATGAGAATATAGAGAGTTGCAAGTTTGAGGCCAGCCTATACTAGAGAATTCCAGATCAGCTTGGGCTATCTTGTGAAATCCATCTTTTTTTTTTCTTTTTAAGATTTTTATTTATTTATTTATTTATTTATTTATTTATTTATTATGTATACAATCAATGTTCTGCCTGTATGTATGTCTACAAGCCAGAGGAGGGCACCAGATCTCATTACAGATGGTTGTGAGCCAGCATGTGGTTGCTGGGGATTGAATGCAGGACCTCTGGAAGAGCAGTCACTGCTCTTAACCTCTGAGCCATCTCTCCAGCCCCGTGAAATCCATCTTAAACAAAATTGCCGGTCATGGTAGTGCATACCTCTCATTTCAGCTCATGGGAAACAGAGGCAAGCAGATCTCTGTGAGTTCAAAGCCAGCCGGGGTTACCTAGACCAGTTCATGCTGGCCTTGAACTCACAGAGATCTGCTTGCCTCTGCTTCCTGAGTACTGAGATTAAAGTCATGTGTCACCATGCCTGGCTGGAGGATTTTTTTTTAAGATTTATTTATTCATTCATTCATTCATTCATTCATTCATTTATTTATTTATTTATTATGTATACAGCATGTATGCCTATAGGCCAGAAGAGGGCATCAGATCTGATTACAGATGGTTGTGAGCCACCATGTGGTGCTGGGAATTGAACTCAGGACCTCTGGAAGAGCAGTTCTCTTAACCACTGAGCTATCACTCCAGCCCCTGGCTGGAGGATTTTAAGAGAATGAAAAACAAACTTGGCTATCAATCTGTCATCCTTAAAGTAACAGAAACAACCTTTTCTGTTGATTTGTTAAAACTTCTAAATACATAGAAACGATATAAAACTTTTCATGAAATACATTATTGAGTAAAGTTGTTACGACTTTTGCTTAGTGAATAAGCAAAAACCAAATGGTTAATGATTTTCAGTTCAAGGTCAGCCTGAGTTACAGTACTGAGTTTGAAGCTAGTTTGAGTCACACAGCAAGATCTTGTGTGCAAAACAAAAATAAAAAGTGAAGCAATTGCCATGTTATCTGCTCTAAAAAATAATTTTGTCTTTCTGATTTTTCTAGAATGCTTTTTAAGGAAAGCCGGAGTGTACATAATCATCTTACTTCTGCTCCGTGAGTAAATACTGACTCTAGATTTCTCCATGTGTTTTTTATTCATGTTATAGCTTTTGGGTTTTTTGTTTGTTTGTTTTTGTTTTGTTTGTTTGTTTTTTCCAAGACAGGGTTTCTCTATGTAGCCGTGGCTGTCCTGGAACTCTGTAGACTAGGCTGGCCTGGAATTCAAAGATCCACCTGGTTCTGCCTCCCAAGTACTGGCATTAAAGTTTGCACCACCACTGCCTGGCTCATGTTATGGCTTTAAGAAACAAAACCATTACTTACTAAAATACTCATTGACATAGTTAAGACTTAAGTATACTGTTAGGTCATCTTTGTGTTACCCCCTTTTTCTGTTTTGTTTGTTTTGACTGCTGACTTTGGAAACAGTCCTAAGATATTCTCCAAACCTTCTAGTCTAGATTGAGATTCTGCTGTAGGGAGCCACCAGCATGGAGCTCAGGCTTGCTCCCTTTGTCTTACTGTCTACATGGGTAACTGCATTGATGAGCTGAGCTTACAGGATACTTCCATGTACACTCCTCCCCTGCCTTGCAAGCTTCTAGTGTTCTTCTGTGCACAACTGGCTCTAGAAAATATAAAGCAGATTTTTAGATCTGTGAGATGGTTCCATGGATAAAAGCATTTGCCATAAAAATCTGAATTGGAGCCCTAGAACCCATGGTAAAAGGAGAAAACCAACTCCTGAAAGTTGGGTCCTGACCTCTGTCTATGCCCCCTGTACACATACACAGTCAGTCACTCACAAATAAATCAATTTTAAAAAATGTTTATACCAGAAATTAAACACAGGTCCAGCATATGCTAGGCAAGCACTCTACTGAGCTACTTACCCAGCCCAGTGAAACTTTCATTAAAGAATGAACCTTTATTCTCCTAATCACAGAAAGATGCCAGTGGTTGCTTTTTAGGGGTACATACTGGAGTGATACTGGAATGCAGCTCAGTTGGTAGAGTCCTTGCCTACCATGCATTAAGGCCCTTGGTTCCATCTCCAGCATTTAAAAAAAGTTATTGAAATATATAAAGTTAGTGAGTTATAGATAATTGGCTAAAGCACTTCAATGTACTTTTAATTCTGCTAAGAGATCAGATTATCATTTTGGGGATGATATTATAAAATTCTTTCTCTTCTTTATATATACAGTTAGAAGAAATGGATATTTTTAGTTTTAGAAAGGATCTGTTGTTTCAGTTATTATTCTTCGTTTTCTCTTTTAAGACAGAATCTTGCTTTGTTGCCCAGTTTGGTCTTAAACTCCTGGCCTCCAAGTGATCCTGCCTCTACTTCTAAAGTAGGTCGGATCATGAGTGCATGCCACTGTGACTGGCTCCCCTCAATGCTGGGCATTGAACCTAGGCTTTTATACATGCCAGACGAGCACTCTGCCATTGAGCTACATCCTACTCCCCTGCTCAGCTCTTAAAAAGAGTTCCATTGTTACTGCTACCTTTGTGTTTTGTTTTAATAGTAGTAGTTTGGTTGTTTTTTTTTTTTTTTTAATCAGAAAATAGCATAGGTAAATATGGCTATTCTAATGGCTTCCTCCCAAAAAGGCATGGAGAATGCTGTTGCTTTTTTGAAACTGCACATTGACAGGTGTTTCATGCTGCTTCCTAAATGTTCAAAGTTTTTTGTTTTTTGTAGCCCTGGCTGGCCTGGAACTCATTTTGTAGACCAGGGTGACCTCAAACTGAAGAAGGTTCCTTCTTACCTTTTAATTCATTAGTTAATTTGTTACCATTCTAACAATTTTTGATTTTTGCAATTTTTGATAAAACCTCAAAATTTTTTCTTAAGCAAAATATCATTAATAACCCATTGCCCTGATTTAAGTATGACATACCTTGAAGCTGTTTCCCTACAAATAATTGAGTTCTTATCAATCCATTGAAATAAGTCTCCTTAGGCTAACCTGTTTGAAGTCATTTTATGTTTTATGTGTTTATATATGATTTTTTTTTTCCTATCGATATTTCTTATTTTAGTAATTATTTGGCCTGCTAGTCACTCTGATTAGAAAAATATGGCTGACTATCCCCGTGCATAGTCTGCTTTAATTCATAACATATAACTGCTTCTGAAGTGACCTTCGTTTTCATCTTTTCTCTTAGGGCAAAGAAAAAGGTGATTCCTACATCAAAACCCAAAGTCAAGGTAAGAGTCCAGCAAATCTGTAGTTGGTCCTAGTTGCTGAGTGTTGGGATAGATTCTTGAGAGAAGAGGACATATGATGTTTAGCAAAGATTAGTAGGTGCTATGCTAAGTTGCTTATTTTCAACATCATAAAAGCCCATTTGAGAAGTCGATTGTTCTGGAGCTGTGAGGATTTGCATTCATTAGTTCTACATAGAAATATTGGATAAAATATAGTAAATGTTCTTTAAAAACATAATTGTCCACTGGGCATGGTTGCATATGATTTTAATCCTAGCACTCAGGAGGCAGAGGCAGGCAGACCTCTGAATTTGAGGCCAGACTGGTCGAGTTTCAGCACATCCAGGGCTATATAGATAAACCCTGTCCAAAAAAACATAGCTAAAATTATTAATACAAAAGAGAAATTCCAGAGTCAAAGAGGACCTACCACAATGATGATCTGTTGCTGAGGCCTTCATTGCCCTTGGAAGGACTACCCATCACATTATGGTTTCTTTTCACTGTCTTCTCAGAATATATCAGGTAGGGTTTTCTTGGATTAGTATGTCAGAAATAGAAAAGAAGCCTGGGTACAGCAGGGCCCTGAAAGAATGATGTCTTTAGTTAATGACATGGAGGGGAAGCATCTACCTATCAGCAGAGAAAAATTTCTCTCTTGGCCAAGGGTTCTAGATTGGAGAAAGACAGTCCTGCCTGAAAATGTCCCCTTTATTAGGAGTTTAATTTGCATTAGTTGCACAAGGTGGCAGAGTAATTTACTGATTCAGCAGTGACCCAGGGCGGTAGGCAAAAGCAGATTCTGTGCCATGTAATGACTACATCCTAGGCTTACCTATTTATAGCACAAGTCAAACATACAAGCTGTAGGTAGATCTCAGACAAAGCATATACTCAGCATGCCAGTGGACCTGGGCATAATCCCAGCACCACAAAAAGCCCCAAACAACAACAGACAAAAAGAGCAACAAAACCATGAGCTTACTGTCTGCTGTCTGAAATATAGTCTAGGTAAGTGTATTTATTAGTAGAGGTTAGAGTCAGTGGACATCACAAACAGTTAAATCCACCACAAATAGGTGGTAGATTTGTTAGTGTAGAACATAAAGTACCTAGGCGTTCATGGTGGTATGTTCATGGTGATACATATCTGTAATCCCAGCACTCTGGAGGCAGAGGCAGAAGAATTGCAGCAAGTTTGAGGACAGTCTCAAACATAACTCCAGGCTACTCAGGGATACATAGAACCTGTTTCAACCTGTTCCTACCCCTAAGAAAAAGAAACATAAGATAATCTTAACAGTGCTTAGGAGAAGCTGGATTGTGAGCCTTCCTCCATTCCTTCTATCCTTTAGCCAAGAACAAGTCTTCCTTCACTGCTAAAATTAATATTTGAGGTGGAAAAGGTAATAAAAATATCCCTAAAAGGCAGATATAGTTTGGTTATGAATATAGCTCATTTGATAAGTGCTTGCCTAGCATACTTGAAACCCTCACATCACATAAAGCAGTCATTGTAGTGCAAGACTATAATCCCAGCACTCAAGAGATAGAGGCAGGAAGATCAGGAGTTCAAGCAAAGATTGAATTATCAGCATGATCCTTTGCTTGATAAGGAGTTGGAGGTTAACTTGGGATGTATGAGACTCTGCATCCCCCAAAGTATAATTAAAATAGAAACTTTGTGCTGGTAATACCTTGACACTTTCTGCCCCCATGTCAGTCCTATGTTCTTTGTAATGATGGAGTTTTGGCAGTAGTGTACTTGGATTGTCAACATGTGCAAGCATACATGCCATGTGTTACCCTCTGGTTTTAGTGGACAGTATGGCCCTAATGGGATCATCCCCATGCTTCTATAGGTAGTGAGGTTTTCAAGAGTGAGTTCTTAGACTAAAAGTTTGGGACAAGTGCTGTAGAAGTTAGAGTATAACAGCATTCTTAACAGCTTACTTACTGTAACACCGTAGGAGGTGATGGTAAAGACCCTTCCCGTTCGTTCTTTCCCCACTGTGCTGAAGGTAAGTGATGTGGCTGTATACATCAGTATATAAGACTCTGGGTTTGGGACCTTTTCTTTCTAAGGAACTAATAGAGTCTCTGAAGTGATGTATGGATCTGCATAGTAGTTTTGTCTTTATCTTAAACATGAAGTTATTAGTCCAGTACTTTTATTACTCTCAACAAATAAATGGTTGCCCTTTAACTTGCTAATGTTTTTCTTTTACTCTTTGAATATTCTAAACTATAATTCTCTTAACTCTTCCTTGAATTTTAAGAAAGTTAATTTAACAGGCAATATTCACCTAGATGTTTAGCACTTTAATTACTAATATCTTTAATTTTCTTAGGACAGAACCTTACTCAGTAGGAGACACTAAACACTTATTTGATAAATTACAAATAATGTCCACATAATGAGTAGAAATATAATTTAAATATGATTGAATAATTCACTAGTTTCCCTGTGTACTGGTGGTAGGTAGCTATAGAAATACAAGGAAGCAAGGAGCAAGAATCAGCCTCCCTGCAGACCTTATTAGACAAGAGGTGTAGTCTTGATAGAGAGGTGAAGTCCCTTCCAAGGAGAATAAAAGCTCTGAGAAACTGGGATTGAAGTTGGTTCTGAATATTTGGTGAAAGTGGAGTTCACGAGTGATGTCTCCCTCAGTCAGTGCCCTTCAGCCCCTTTTCGGGTCCTGGTAAGATGACTTGAAAGGACATGGTAACGTAGTGTGTCACACAGTTATGGGGAGAGCTGATTAGAGCACTGTCTCTCAACATTATTTTGGTTTTGGCAGTCTTCTCAAGGTTTCTAGCTTTTAAAAAAAGGAGGTCCAGTACAGTGGCACATGCCTTTAATCCCAGCACTCAGGAGGCAGAGGCAGATGGATCTTTGTGAGTTCAAGTCCAGCCTGGTCTACATAGGGAGTTCAGGACATACAGAGCTATAAATAGACCTGTGTCAAAATAAACAACATAGCCAAAAAATAATTTTAGTCATCATAAGAATGTCTTAATCTTGTAAAAACTAAGTTTAAAATTTGTAATTAACTCTCTGTATTTTTTCCAATATAATGCTACTTATGCTAGGAATGTAGCCCAAAAAAAGACGCCAAGGCTCCTGTATCTTTGGTGGCTTCAGTTGGTGGTCCTTCCTCAAGCTCCAGCACAGCCATCATTGCCTCAGCCAGCTCTAGCTCAGCACCAGCCCAAGAAACCATCTGCCTCGATGACTCCCTGGATGAAGACCTTTCTTTCCACTCATCTTCACTGGATCTTGTATCCGAAGCTTTAGCTGTCATCAACAATGGGAACAAGGGCCCCTCAGTTGGCTCAAGGCTAAATGTGCCAACTACAAAGCCTCGTCCAGGACTGAGAGAAGAAAAACTAGCAAGTATCATGAGTAAGTTACCACTGGCTACTCCCAAAAAACTAGATTCTACTCAGACTGCACACTCATCAAGTCTTATTGCTGGTCACACGGGGCCAGTACCAAAGAAACCCCAGGATTTAGCTCATACTGGCATTTCTTCAGGCCTTATTGCTGGTTCTTCAATTCAGAACCCGAAAGTTTCCTTAGAACCTTTGCCAGCCAGGCTACTCCAGCAAGGATTGCAAAGGTCAAGCCAGATACATGCTTCTTCCTCTTCACAGACTCATGTCTCCTCCTCCCAAGCCCAAGTTGCTGCCTCCTCTCAGGCTCTGGGAACATCAGAGGCCCAAGATGCTTCTCCGTTAACACAAGCAACAAAGGTGCACCAGCACTCAACTGTCCAACAGAACTATGTGTCTCCATTACAAGCCACCATCAGTAAATCACAGACCAACCCAGTCGTGAAATTAAGTAATAACCCGCAGCTTTCCTGTTCGTCCCAACTACTCAAGACTTCAGATAAGCCACTGATGTATCGCCTCCCTTTGTCTACCCCATCACCTGGAAATGGTTCTCAGGGGCCCCATCCCCTGGTTTCTAGGACAGCACCGAGCACCACTACCTCCAGTAACTATTTAGCCAAGGCTATGGTGTCACAAATCTCCACGCAGGGTTTCAAATCTCCCTTCTCAATGGCTGCATCTCCCAAACTTGCCTCATCTCCCAAACCTGCCACATCTCCCAAACCTTTGCCCTCACCTAAGCCTTCTGCCTCACCCAAGCCCTCTCTGTCAGCTAAGCCTTCAATATCAACTAAACTTATTTCTAAATCCAACCCAACTCCCAAGCCTGCTGTATGCCCAACTTCTTCCAGTCCAAACACACTAGTAGCTCAGAGTAGCCACTCCACTAGTAACAACCCTGTCCATAAACAGCCCAGTGGAATGAACATCAGCAGACAGTCTCCCACTCTGAATTTGTTGCCCTCAAATCGCACTTCTGGCCTTCCAGCTACAAAAACTCTTCAGGCCCCTTCTAAACTAACAAACTCATCATCCACTGGAACTGTTGGGAAGAACAGCTTGAGTGGAATTCCAATGAATGTACCTGCCAGCAGAGGTAGCAACCTTAACTCGAGTGGAGCTAATAGGACTAGTCTATCTGGGGGAACAGGAAGTGGAACACAGGGTGCTACTAAACCGTTGTCTACTCCACATAGACCAGCCTCTGCCTCAGGGTCTTCAGTGGTAACAGCCAGTGTGCAGGTATGTATGTACTATGCATTAATGTGATAAATGTAAGGTTGAGCAAGCTTTCTGAGTCACCTTGGTGACTTTTCATGTGACATATACAACATATAGAATGTGTTTATACTAGGCTGATAACAGCTATGACCATGAAATGTTCTCAATGTTGACATCATAGTGCTGGGTGAGAATTTCATTGGAATGTGTGTTTTTTATTTTTTCAACCAAGTATCATATTAGGCTGTATGTATGGTGCCATATACCTATAATCCTAGCACATGGAAGGGTGAAGCTGGAAGAACTCAAGTTGAAGGCCAGCCTGGATTATATATAGGGAATTATAAGCTAGACTGGGCTGCATAACAGAGTCTTACTAAAAATAAAAAAGTAAAACGTTAGAAGGTAGGATGGGGTGTTAGCTCAGTGACAGTCTCCCTAGCATGTGTGAAACCCCAGGTTCAATCTCCAATATCAGGAAAAGATTCACATTTACCTTAACATTTGTTTTGAAAAACAAAACTTGAATGTATATTTCAAACTATATCTCTTAGCCAGACATTCTGGTGCACTCTTACAATTCCAGCTCTTGAGAGGTGGAGGCCTGATGATCAGAAGTTCAGTTACCCTTGGTTACACAACAAGTTCAAGGCCAGTATAGGCTATATGACACCCTGTTGAGGGAAGAAACTCTTCACAGACTCTATCTTATTAAAAACAAGAACAAAGTATTAGTGTAGAAATTTAACACATATTCAGTTGTCCCCCTACCTTTTCTTCTGGCCTTATAAATGTTTGTGGGGGCATGATGTGTTGGGTGCAGTGCTTAAGAAGGCCAGAGAGGGCAACTGATCCCCTGGAGCTGGAGTTACAGGCAGGTTGTCAGCCCCTGACTTGGGTGTATGAACCAACCTCTGGTCCTAGGAAAGAGCAGCAAGTGTTCTTAACCATTGAGCCAGCTGTTTTGTTTATTTAATCAGATTTATACATTTGTATTTTCTTTAAGCATTTATCTGCTCCAAATTAACTTTTTAGTTACTCGTGCATAATTCTGTCCACTTAATGTTGGAATACCTATATACCACATTTTCCCAGTTTGTCAATTTTTAGTTTAAACTTGCCTCTCAATTAGCAAGGACTCTTTGCTAGAAGGGACATAGACGGTTATTTACTTTACAATTGCTTTTGCACACTTAATCACTGTTTCCTATGTTGTAACACTTACATGAGGGTAGACTTCCTGGCTTACTAAGTTAGTATTTCGGGTTATAGGAAAGTCTGAGGCTATGCTGGTTATTTTATTCTCCCTTATAAGTAATGTGTTTTGTCTGCTAAAATGGTTAGAAAATTTACCTTTAAACCCCAGTATTCTTAGACTAGAGCTCTGTTTATGTTGTTATCATTAATTTTGTACTTAGAACATAATGAGCCTCAGACCTGGCTATTTTTTCAGCTCAAGAATATTTTATTCTTGGTCAGTGAGATGGCTGAATGGGTAAAGGTACTTGCCACCAAGCCTCATGACTTGAGTTTGATCTCTGGGACCCACATGGTAGAAGAAGAACAGAGTCCTGAAAGTTGTCCTCTGACCTACACTCACACACACCCAATAGCACAATTTTCCCAACCCAAGAATAAATGTAATTTTAAGAATTTTTTTTTAAATAAAAAGCATTTTAATTTTAGACAAAAAAAAGGGGGAAATGTGGTGATATTGTGTTCCCCAAAATATTGTGCACCCTAATAAACTTATCTGGGGTCAGAGACAGAACAGCCACTAGATAAACATAGAGGCCAGAAAATGGTGGCACACACCTTAATCCTAGCATTCTGGAGGCAGAGATCTGCCTGGATCTCCGTGACTTCAAAGCCACACTGGAAACAGCCAGGCATGGTGACACACGCCTTTAATCTCAGGAAGTGACGTCAGGAAGCAGGAAGGTATATAAAGCGTGAGGACCAGGAACTAAAGCTGGTTAAGCTTTTAGGCTTTTGAGCAGCAGTTCAGCTGAGATTCATTTGGATGAGGACTCAGGCTTACAGTCTAAGGAAACAGGATCACCTGAGGAACTGGCAAGGTGAGGTAGCTGTGGCCTGTTCTGCTTCTCTGATCTTCCAGCATTCACCCCAATACCTGGCCCTGGGTTTGTTTTTATTAATAAGACCGTCTAACAATTCGTGTTACATCTGAGTAACCAATCAAAAACAAAAACTATGTTATTCTATATTTGGTGATTGTTTCTGATTCAGTGCTTTGCTTAGACAGTGGGCATTTGTATATAGGCTGGACTGGCCAGCAGCCTGCTGCACTCCTACCTGACCCTGAAGCTGAGATCCCCAGCCTGTGCTGAGATCCACACCTCACTTAGCTTAGGGTTATTTTGAGAACTTTTTTTTAGAGACAGGAGGATCTCACTCTATAGCCCAGGCTTCAGACTTGGAGCAGTCCTCTTAGTGCAGCCTCTCAGCTCCTGGGTGACAGCCGTGCACTAACAGGTCTGATTGTTGTCCATGTATTTCTTGGCTCTGACTTCTATATCATCTTGTATTGTGTTCATTTCTTTACCTTCACTGTAATTGGAGGCTTTCAGAGACTTACCCTTCCATTAATGATGTGGCTTCTTTAATATTTTTCCCTCCTGTAAGTAATATATATTCACTGTGAGCAAATTTAGAGACAAGAAAATAAAAATAAAAAAAAAAACCACCTGTGCCTACCACCTTTCATATGTAGGGTGTTTTAAGGCTGTTTTCAAAAAACTGTCTCACACAATATTATGTTATAAATACCTTTTTAAAATATATATCTTATGATTTATAAGTACTTGTGTCCTAAATCTTTGAGAACATTACTGATCTGTGCAATGAGTTGTCTAAGGCGATGCTCTAACTTTGTGCTGCTCTTTTTTTGTGGAGTAGGAATTTAGTGAAAAGCTTTCACCTTGCTATTTGTAGAGGCTTCATGCAATTCAGTATAGTGTAAGACTTGGTGTTGAATATACATTTAATAACCAAGTTATCATTCTTGCACTCACATGAGTTCAGGATTGCATACTAATGTAGAATAAATTCAATTTACTGGCACTTCAATGGTTGAAATCCATATTGATGTTTTGTCTCTGCTTAAAAAAAAATGTTTGTTTTTTTATTTTTCATCGTAAGGAAATAAAGCTGAGTGGGTGTTCTTCACCTGCAGCCCAGCACTAAGGCAGGAGAATCACTTGAGCCCAAAAGTTCAAGACCAGCCTAGACAAGATAGTGAGACCTTATCTCAAAGAGAAGGGAAAGACAAAGAGGGAGAGGTAAACACCAAAGCTCAAATACACTGATAATGGGGATATCTGTTAAAATTGTTCCTTATAAACAAGGTCTGGGAATTAGTCTTCATTACTGGTCAGGGTTGCTAGAAAGGTGATCCTTTTTAAAAGTAACCTTTAAATCAAAGGAAAAAAGAAATGGAATTCTAACAAAAGTGGTTGTTCTGGTCCTATACCCTCACTATCCACGCTTATGTTCTTTCTGAGACAAGGCCTTCAACAAAGTCACTACTTCCCATGTGCTGGGGTTATAGGCATGCACCACCATGCCCAGCTAGCAAGAATAATGACAACCAGGTGTGGTGTGGCTTACCTTTAATCCCAGACAGAAGCAGGTGGATCTCTGGAAGTTTGAGTCTAGCCTGGTCTTCATAGTGAGTTCCAGACTAGTCAAGGATACATAGTGAGACCCTGTCTCAAAAACGAAGAATGAACAAATGAATGACAAACTCTTAATTTTATGAATGCTACCATTGTGTTATCTTGTGACTTTCATTGTGAAAATAGGACGTATAGTTCTCATGTAGCTGTACCATTTTGCTGAAATAGTAATCAGATTTTTAAATCTCCCATGACATATGTATTGTCTTTTTTCCACTATCAGAGTTATGACTTCATTTACTTTCTTATTATAAAATGTTAGGGGAGTTTTCTATACTTAAAAATTGGATTTGTGTTTTGGTTTTTACTTCATTGCCTTCAAGTGTCTGATTAAATTGTCCTCCACCTTTTTTCACCTCTAAAATCTACCTGGCCATCTTGTATTTGATTATCCTTTATCCTATAAGAAGCCATTCATTGTCTTAAGAATAATTGATCTGTCAGCAAGAAAGCTGCATGACAAAATATGTGTTGATGATGAGTTCCTTCCCAGTACTCTTCCATTCCCAGGTCACGGTATGACTTGGAAACCCCAAGGTACCTGCTTTCTTTGATCTGTTTTTCTCTGTCTTACTGGATGACTCAAGAAAAAGTCAGTAGTTGATTAATCTCACATCGCCTCTGCCATTGGGTAGTTGTTTCCATATGAAATAGCATCTCTGAAGTCTTCTCAGCTCCTTTTAGCTCCTTCTCAGCTCTAGATGTCTGTTGAACCCAGGTGCTTAAAGCAGATCTTCCTTCATGAAGAAGTACATTTGGGGTCTGTTCTTGTGAAGCTGGCACCTCCTGTCTACAAGACATCCGCAGTGCTATCCGCAGTCATTTAACAAAGGCTGAAAGTTAAAATATTCCTGGGTCCAAATTGTTATCTCTGTCTACTTTCCTTCCAGAACGTCCTCTTTCTTGCCCTTCAGCTTACTGACTTTGTGTGACCCTGTGTTTGCCACTTTATGATCCTAAAAGCCATCACCCAGTAAGCAGACTGGGTACTATGTGCCAGGCTCTCTTCTATGTGCTGGGGACCCAGGGTTAATAACATACTATTCCTGCTCTCGTGGAGCATATCCTCTAGATAAGCTAAACACCAGTATTATTTAAAAAAGAAAGAAGCATGTGCTATGAAAAAAATGTTGAAAGTTGATTATTGCTAACATAAGGGACCACAAAAGGCCTATTAAAGGAAATACTGTTTGATTTGAGCAGAGTTGAAAGAACGGGGCACAGCCATGTGTAGAGCAGACAGGAGATTGGTATGGACTAGGGGACACAGTATAGAAATGCTGAGTGAATGAGCCTGAGATGAAAGCCTGTGTGCTGTGTGACCAGACTGTGGGGATAAACTCCACTGATGGGGACAGTAAGGGTTTGGGGGTTCCTTACGAAGAAGGGAAGCTGTTGGGAAGTTTTAACCAGCAGAACAATATGGCTGAATTTCAGAATAGTGTTCTAGGTGACTGGGAAACAGCCGTTTCACCCAACAGAGGGAGTAGCGGTATAGGATCAAGTGCCTGCCTGAGAAAAGCAGTTCCGGGTCCTCTTTCTTCTCAAAATGGAGAAAGCATAGAAATCATGTCCGATTATGGACACTGTATTCTGCTCATCTAGCTAATATTGACAGCTTTTCTATGCTCCCAAATGTTACAAACAGTGGGATTTTCTACTTCTGAAAGTACCTCTTCGGGAGAACTCCTAAATGTCAGTGTAACATTGAGGTCACCTAGCATTCTAATTTAGTCATAAACAGAATTGGATTTGGAAAATTCTTAGAAAGTGTAAAACATTATTTATAGCATATTTTTTCATTGCTGGTATTCAAGTTATTTTAAAAATAGGAACTTGTCCTAATTTATCTTTTCCACCTGTTGTAATGCTTCACTTAGACTTTTGTAGAAAGGCTTTAAAAGGTTCAACTCATTTGCATTATTTACTGTTTTTCACTGAGGGAGCCATTTGGGACACAGCCTTGGAGACTTACCTTGAGACTACAATAGACTTATGTTTAAAACGAAGGACCCATTCTTGCTTATTTTTTTTTTAAACATTTGTTTATTTATTTAATGTATGAGTGCTCTATCGACTTTATGCCAGAAGAGGGCACCTGTTCACACAGATGGCTATGAGTCACTGCTTGGTTGTAGGAATTGACCTCAGGACCTCTGGAAGAGCAGCTTAACTGCTGAGCCATCTCTCCAGCCCCCATTCTTGCATGCTTTTTTTTTTTTTTGTGGGGTGGGGGAGGTTGAGACAGGGTTTCTCTGTGTAGTTTTGGTGCCTGTCCTAGATCTCACTCTGTAAACCAGGCTGGCCTCGAACTCACAGAGATGCGCCTGCCTCTGCCTCCCGAGTGCTGGGATTAAAGGCGTGCACTGCCTGGCTTCTTGATTACTTTTAAACCGATACAGGATCTTTTTTATCCCAGTCACTTTCAAACAGTGTTGTTTCTAACTGGGTATTTTTCTTAACTGTGTCCACTGTGTGTCATGAGTGGCACAGTAAAGGCAAAGGCCGGCGACTTTCCAAAATGTCACGTGACATAACCTGTTGAGGGTTAGTGCTCAGGTGTAAAGAGAGAAGGTGGGTGAAGAAGAAACTCCTTCCATGAGGAGGCCTGCAGACCAAGGTTGCAACCCCAGGCTCCTGGAAATAAATAAATAAATAAATAAATAAATAAATAAATAAATAAATAAATAAATAAATAAATAAATAAATAAATAAAGTGCTTGCTGATGGGCAGGGATGGGCTCGGTGATTCCAGTTTTGGACATGGCAGGTCAGTTTGAGTGTTGGAAACCCATGTGGTGTTACTCACGGAATTCTGATTCACAGGATTAAAATTGAGGTGACAGGTCAGAACTGAGCTTCTAAATATCAGTGATAACACAGGAGATGAGCAAAGGTTGGAAATGGAGGAGTGGAACCAAAATAAGATGGCTTCTGGAGAGTGACCTCACTTTTTGTTCAGCAGTAGTATGGACCCTAGGGTGTATAATACTATGCCGTGTACCACAATGTATGGGAAAGTTACATATATTTTCTTACATGTTAAGAAATGAAACCTTTAGCCCTTACCATGCGTGGTGGCATCTGAGGCATGCCTGTAATCACCATACTTAAGAGGCTGAGGCTGGAAGACTCGGATTTCAGGGTTGGTTTGTGTTACATAATGAGTTCAGGCCAGCCTGAGCTAAACAATGAGATGCTGTTTGAAAAACAAATAAAATAACCTTTAATTAATGAGATATTTTGGTAGAAATAACTCACAAAACCAACAATATCTGATATGTATTATTAACTTAAAAAAAGCTTTTTGGAAGTTCTAACTGGCCTGAAACTTGCTATGTAGACCAGACTGGCCTCGGAACTCACAAAGATCCACCTGACTCTGCCTCCCAAGTGCTGGAATTAAAGGCATGTGACATCACCACTAGCCATCTCTCCAGTTTCTAAATTTAAAAACTAAATAAATAAATGAATGAATAAATTCTCTTTTCCTGACCACAGTTAAAACTATAAAATTTTTAACTAAGGAAGCATTACAGACTGCAAAAGAAAACTCCCAGGGGCAGGAAGGACTATAGTGTGTAATGTTTGCTTCTAAGAAAGTTGGATGTATTAAATAAATGTTTGATAATGATAAGTGCCCATTGTGAAGAAATGCCAGAAGTGGAAAAATCACTTAATTGTTGCATAGAAAGTCGTCGGAAGAATTGACTTAGCTTAAAGAGTGTATTTTAAGTAGTTTCCCCTTTAAGCTCACCAACATTAGCAGATTTCTGATTCATCACTCAGGGCCTCAAAGCTCACATAAAGGAGTAAGAAAACACTTTATTCTTAGGAAGTCTGATTTCAGAAAAGCGGTGTAATGGGAACCAGCTTTTAGCAGTTCTGGAGAAACTGTAGACGGGGAAATGGAGGCTGTCATTCAGTAGGTTTGATTTTTAAAAAGGGATACATATAATATTAGATTATTGCTAGGGGATGGAAAAGATGCAGAAATAACGGAGTTGAAAGAAAAAGAGA